TCACGACATACCACTTGTCTTTAAAACCCCGCACGGAGTCCATATACATCTTGAATAGTCTCTTCGACTGCTTCAGGGAGACCCAACTGTGCTTCCCTCCCCGGGACTAACGCTGCAGATGAAAGATTCTGAAGAAGAGAGGTATAGTCGCCCCAACCCTCAGAAAGCGACATGTCAGCTCAAACGCCCGGATAAAGGCGAGCGAATTCGGGTGTAGCTGCGACGGGGCCAGCCCTAGATGAGCGAAGACCCCGACCTGAAAGTCGCTGAAGGGCAGCTGCAGCCCAAGGTCTTTAAATGCAATCTCGTACATGGGGAAATTGTACTCGGGGTACACCGAGCATATCCGAGCAGTGGAGGTCGGTCGCGTAATGACGAAATTCTTTTGAAAATCAGGCTGACCGTGGCTCGCCTCAAGGACAACATATGGCTTTCGGTTACGCCGGCTATAGATCGAGGCGATTCCTCTAGGCTCGGCGCCCACCCAGTCCAACAGAGGGTCTTCGACAGTGTCGATCAAACTCACCGCCTCATCGGCACTTTGTTCCTCCCTTTCGGGGCGTCCAGAAGAGCACGGCTCGTCCGCCATGGTTACCTGCAGGGCACGGGAAACCAGTCAATTGGGCACGAAACCATACGCTCGACGTAACGGACCAGATGTAGTGCGCGACAAACCACGTCGCTCCACGCGCGACCATAAAGTAAGTTTGAAACAAAATAGCAGTCGCCTCCCCGACGTCCAGATAACTCGACGGGACCTTCTCCAAGCCGCCTAAGCAAACCGACAATGCAGTCACTCACGAATATGCCGAGCCAAGGTATGAACATGGAGAGCAACATCATAAAGCCTACAGCCGGGACCATGAGCATACCGGGCACGATCATGAATCAGGCGCCCTGGATCATGAAGACCCCGGGCAGCACTGCAGATTATAACCTAAACCATGTATCTACCGACCACGAGCATGTGTTTGCCGGTCCTAAGCATGAATATGTCGAGCTAAACATGAATTTACCGGGCTAGTCCCACGCGCACAGCCTCTAAAAGCGTTTAAAACGATGAAAATCATGCATCACAACAGAAAAACAGAGAAGATAAGTCACTTACTTGGAATCAAGGAGTGGATTCGGCAACGGGGGAAAGAAATCTGTGACGGAGATCGCGACGGTGCTATGAGAATCCGGAAGAACAACAGCAGCAGAAGCGCGAAGAGTAGTAACACGTTATGGGGCCCAAGGATCCTATTTATAGTGATGACGTGGAATACCAAACGTCACCTCAGGCAACCACAGAGTTCCTCTCCTCGACGCACGGCTCCCAAGGCAATAATGACCCTATCCTCATAGGGTGGCGGCACAGCTCCCAAAAGATACCTCGCACGCTCGACAGACGCGCACCGATTGAGGAATCCCCGAGCACTCTCCGCGAGGAGCACCCCACGAGGAGCTGCGTCTTTGACCCGGGCATGAGGCCCCGAAACGGAAGCAACCTAAGATCAAGCCATGGCTCCTAACCCAAGGAACCACGACTTGGGGGGCTCCTGTTCTGGACTGGGCCCGACTGGCCCAATAGCATTGATAAGGCCCAATCCAAACGGACTTACTGAGGGCCACGCCGACCAAAGGGTCACAGTCGTGCCCGACGTGCTCCCCGAGACTATTTGCTCGACCTCCTGCTGCCCAGCTCAACCTCCAACTGTCCAGCTCGACCTCACCTCGAACACCCAAACTAGGGCAGACTCAGTCCACTGCACTCCCAACGAGACCCCGAAAAGACCGCGTCTCTGTCCGCCCGCACTTCACGCAGAACATCCAGGGAGGGGACCACTTGCGGGTCCCCACTACGCATGTAGAACCTGGCAGTTCCTCCATTGGGCCAAACCTGTCCGGCCCAATGAAGGAACCTTGGCCCAGCACTGGGGGATATAAATATCCTCTGTTTCCAGAGGGTCAGGTATTCATCATTCTACCCATACTCACTATTGCCTGCTCGTGCTCTTACTTACTTCAGCATCAGAGTGTCTTGCAGGTACCCCCCCCCCCCCCCCCCACCTCGTTCAAAACTTTCAGCTCGGAGCCAGCCGTGACGGTCCAAGTCTGATCAGGTTAGATCAGATACCCAATCGAATCTCCTTGTCCAGATGTCAATTGAAAGATATCTTGTTCAGATGCCAATCGAAGGACCTTGTTAAAATGCCAATCGAAAGACCTTGTCCCAAGGCCAATCGAGGACTCCTGTCCATATGCCAATCGAAGGCGCCTTGCCCCAATGCCAATCGAAGACTCCTTCGTCTTCAAAATCTTTATTTTTCTTTAATTAAGTGTTTGTGACCACCCATGTAAAAGAAAACATTGGAAAACATGATAGGACAAATTTTGGGGTACAACACCCTTGTTAAGACAATTTGATAAAATAAACACATATAGTTGGGGTTCAGCTGTTTTGACCCATCTGTATAGTTCCTTGTGTAAAAATGCATCGAACGGTAGCTGTTCTTTCTATACTTGCGCCTTTTTGCTCCAGACATGATGCTGGTCGAGAATGCCGACACTCGCCCCCTACAACACAAGGCCATTCGTCTTCCCCTTTGCTACAAAGTAAGATTACAAAACCATAAATTTTACATATTATATACCGAGACATGTAGTGTATTAATTTATTACCTATTTTTCTATGTAGGTGGTCTGTTCATAGGATGAATTACAACAAATCCCCTAGAAACGCAATAGTAATCTACCGAAATCTTATTGATCATGTTGGACCCGAAGAGGTATTAAACTTATATATAACACATTAAATAGTTTAATTAAGTTTAATATTTTATATCTTTTTTACTCTACAGTTTGTATGGAGGCCGTATAAGGATCTCGACCATGAGATTAACCCTCATGATGCTGAAGTCTGGACTGCAAAAATAACACTCATCAGGTTCACTACTGTGGAGATGCACCACAGTGGTCGTGTGAAGTTACAGTTCGGCATGCAACAGGGTATCCCCGACCCCTCAACACGTTTGGGCCAATGTCATCTACTCAGAGTTGACGACCAATGGGGATTTAATGATTTGAGAGACTTCGCTAAAAATCAATGTCGTCAATAGAGGCAAAAACGTGAATTGATCCTAAGGGAGCCGATCTTGCAAGATGACGTAAAACTGATGCTCCAATATTTGAGATGGTACACATCGGTTTCAACAAATTTGTTTATGTCTCAAGAGACTTATTTGATCGACCCACGCCAAAGAGCTGCAATATACGCCCAACAACAACCCCAACAACCAACCCCTTGACAATACCAAACCCAACAACCAACCCCTCAACAATACCAAACCATACCAAAATGGCAACCCACTCAAACCCAACAACCATACACCACCTCATTCAACCAAACCCGTCATCAATTCATGCCACACACACAAACACAATACCAAGAGCATTATTGGAATAATATAACAAGTGTGAGTAAGTGAGGAAATAGTCCCACATTAGATGAGAATGTGGAGACTTAAGTATATATAAGTGAGCGAACCCACTTACCTATCACCTTAAGGTTTTAGGTGGAGAAGTGTCGTGTCTCTCTCAAAGGTGCTTGTTCCTACACTATGCATCAATGCTCCTAATAATCTCCCCCCAACAAGCATGGCCCGACCCACCACCAATAATATGCACCATCCTCACCTATTACAACACCCAAGACACATACGATACATCTCCTTCCTACCATACCACCCAACCTACATACAATCAAACATCACACCATCGAAGTACCCAACCATTATACATATTTCATACACCACAAGAGCCGTTGCTTCGTTTCCATCACGATTCAACATCCCAATACTAACAACCACCCCACCACCCACACATATCCCAACCAACAAGACCAAACTTCAACAACATGGGCACCAATCACATCAAGCACCTCATAATCAAGCGAGTCAGAACATACCACAAACACCTCAGGAAAATCAACAAAGAGGAGTGAGACAAGGGGCGAGGCAAAGGCGCAACCGTTTATGTCATACTGGGACTTGCTTAGGTTGATGGGACGTCCAAAAAACTATATCCATGCGTTGTGTAATATTAAATATTAATATAAAATATTTTTAATTATTTTTATTTTATTTAAAGAAATTATAATAACACTGTCAAGCCAAGGAGGGTGACGTCTCCTCTATAAAAACACATGCATGTGCCACACTGCATGACTTTACAGAGGAGGACAAGCCATGCAGTGTGACGCCTCCTCTTAAAAATAAATGCATGAGCCACACAGAGTGCCTACTCCTCTATATAAAAAATTTTATTTGAAAAGTGGTCATTTTGATAAATTTTTTGAAAAAAGTAATTATTTAATAATTTTTTTTAAAAAAAGTGATTATTTAAAAAAAAATTCTAAATTTTTTTATACCGTAAATAACGATAATAATTTACTAAAATAAACTAATTAACTATTTTAGCATGTTGAATAGTTTGAGTTTTTAATTCAATTAAAAGATGAATATTCTACTTTTTGCATTGCTCGTATGAGTCAGATGCATATCTGGTAGACACAGTAGATAGCAGGTAAGTTGCACGTTTTCTCCCTCAGCATCATGCGTGCCACGTGTATATAAGTATGTGGTCCACGATTAGTAGCGTATGTCGTCATCACACCGTATAAAAAACCCTGCTTATAAAAATATCTACACCTTCCAACAGCCTGCAAAAAACGCGAATTCTCTCTCTCTCTCTTACGTTTTATTTTTTCATTTAATTTTTATTTTATTTTTGATTTCTCTTTCTAGCCCCATGAAAGCGAAATCGAAGTGCACGAAACAAAAATATTAACGAGTCTAAGAAAACGGATCCCAAACAATAACTGAACCCTAACCCTAGAAAACGGGGCTTATCCTCTTCTTCCCTTTTCCGTTCGTTCTTTCACTCCCAAACCGAATTCAACTTCGATTGCGTTTCTCACTCTCTCCACTCCACGATAGGGTTTCAATTTCTATAATGGAATGCTTTCGTTCATCTGCACCTTGTTATTGCCGGCGATGACCGGGGAACGATGTTACCGCCGCAAGAATATGGTGGAAGACGCCTCGAGGCCCTCACCGGCCAGTTTTCCGGCCTCTTTGGAAATTGATTACTTCTCCCAGGCGAGGAAAGCGCTCAGCGAGCGTTGTCCTTTCGATGTTGCCGAGGAGACCTCGACTTCTGCTGCTGTTACTCTGCCGAGTGGGTTAGCAAGTTTGTTGAGCCGCCACGGGGATAACCGGAAGCGGCAAAAGAAGTCTCATTCCGGTGGCGGTGATAAGAAGAAGAAATCCTCTAGACCTGGCGAGAAGTTGCGCGGTTTTGATGTTTGGGTTGAGACGGAGGAGTGTTTTAGGGACTTGAACTTGTCTGATATTGACACGTTATTGGAAGCTTCTACTTCTTATAGTTTAGCTTCTCGTGAGTGCTATACAATTCCGCCTTTGGGAAATTCTCCAAGGTTTAATATAGTTAGTAGTGAGGATGAGAAGAAGTCTGTTTCATTATTCAATGTAGTTAGTAGTGAGAATGAGAAGAATGTTGTTGAAGAGATAAACAAGGAGAATGGTCCCTTGGGAATTGAGTTAAGTGACGTAGTTGAATTGGAAAAAGCTTTGCCTAATGATGACAAGAATTGTGATGCTTCTGATTCCTGTGATAGTTTAGAGTGGTTTTTAGGTAGTAGGAATAGGATTTTTTTAGCTTCTGAGCGTCCATCCAAGAAAAGGAAGCTTTTGGGTGGTGATGCTGGTTTGGAGAAGGTTTTGATGACTAGTTCTTGTCATGGGGACCAACCTTGTTGTCATTATTGTGGCAGAGGAGATTCTGGCACGGATTCAAACAGGTTAATAGTCTGCGCTTTTTGTAAAGTTGCAGTTCATTGGAAGTGCTATGGTATACATGATGATGTAGATGAGTCTTGGTTGTGCTCTTGGTGTAAGCAAAAGGGTGATGTTGATGATTCGGTGAGTCCATGTGTTCTTTGCTCAAAGAAGGGCGGTGCTTTAAAACCAGTTAATAGTGTTGATGAAGCTGTTGAGTCTGCCCAGTTTGTGCACCTGTATTGTTGTCTGTGGATGCCGGAGGTTTACATTGATGATTTGAAGAAGATGGAGCCTGTTATGAATCTGGGAGGTATCAAGGAAACCAGAAGAAAATTGGTGTGTAATGTTTGCAAATTAAAATGCGGCGCGTGTGTTCGGTGCAGTCATGGTATGTTTTGTTGTCTTGTAATATGCAATTTTCATTTCTTTGGCCAGCATTTTAGTGTCTCAAAGCTATAGCTTATTGTGCAACTGCTATGGCGATGATCTGTTTAGCACAACGTTTTGGAGTTTCTACTCACAAAATTCCTTATATTTGTCTATTGTCATTTGATTTCACATCTTTCTTGCTTGCTTGTGGTAATATTGAGGGTCTGCTTAAGCTGTTCAAAGAGGATTTTTATGTATTAAGCTTTAGACAGTGGATGAAAATAAGTTCCATTTCCACCCTGATTATTTGCAATCCGTATTGATATACTATTTTCATTTTTGTGTTATATTGGCGCAGCACATATACTTTTACATCTTGGCAGTATGTCTGCTCAAAAACCTGCTATTAATTAATTACTTGCTTCCACATGATAATCCAGTGCCGGTTAAGTGTTATGACTGATAAAATCGCTAAGCATTGTTTTGCCTGACTAAAGTTGAAGAACATTAGTTATTCTGCCTGGCCTATTCTAGTGGTAACTGTTAAAATACTAATTTGGTTTGACATTAGAGTTGTATTATACATTACATGCCTGCTTCAAGAATGCAATTTTTTGGAGACTTTTCATGTTCCTTGTCTTGAAGAACATATTTTTTTGTAATTAGTTATGTGTTTTGATTTCTCAATTGTACCAGACTACAAGTCCCAAACAATTGTGTTATTAATAAAATTGAAGGTTAACTTCTTTCAATTTTTCTTATTGCAGTTTCATACAATTCAATTTTGAAGTGAATATCCCAGTTCTTTACTTTTCCAATCTTGTACAGAATATTGACAGTAGTATCTTATCTGGACAATCAACTTGTTGTTTATGCCTATTCATGGATTGAAAAATGAAAAGCATGGGTGACTTTGTAGCATAAACAGACTTTTTTCTTTTCTTTTCTTCTGTTTTCATTTTTTGTGAGGAGTCATGTTTGATTAAGATTCTGTGGTAATTTGCACTGCAGCTATTGTCTCTTACCATGTTTCTAATGTAAGTCGCAAGTATCTCAATGTTCTCCTTTTGACTTGGTGTGTAACTTGTTGTTTCTAGTTGGCATTCATAACTATCTTTTCTTCTTCACGTTGTTTTAGCTCATAACTGTTTCCTTCTATATGGTGTTTTAGGATCATGCAGAACTTCTTTTCATCCTTTATGTGCAAGGGAAGCTAGACATAGAATGGAGGTTTGGGCAAAGTACGGTAATGATAATGTAAGTTCTTGTAATTTTCAGAACTAAATTGCCTCCCCTTTCTGTCCAGTAAACAAGGAAACAACAAATCTAGCAAGTAGTTTATTATTAATAATAGGCCATAGTAAATAGTCCCCTCTTTTTTTTCGTTACTTTTTGCTGCAGGAGTTGATTGTCATGTACCTTTTTATGTTATACTTTGTCAGATTGAGTTGCGGGCTTTTTGCTTGAAACACTCAGATCTACAAGAGAACAGAAGCATCTTGCCATTGGGAGGCTCTATTGCAGTTGGCAATGAATTTCCAGAAGCTAATAACCTTCCAGTGACGTTGCCAGTAAAGAGTGAACACAATGTAAAAAGTGGTTGCAGAAATGGAGGGTTGGAATCTGATACCAATCCAAACGTTTTGAACCATAATGAACCTCCTGACGGAGGATTGTCTGTCTGCACGGATAGTGCGCGAAATATGTTGGGATGTGGCGCTGTGCCACCACATAATATTGAGGTGGCAGGGAGAACCAACGGGAATGTTAATGCCTCTGATTCCCCCAGTTTTGCACTTGTTTTGAAAAAGGTAATCTGCACATTATTAACAGTCACTGTTTACAGTGAAACTAATGTTTTGTCAACAATTATTTTTTGCCTTGCTTATTCTAAGCTGACATTCACTTTTTGCCAGTTGATTGAGAGAGGGAAGGTTGATGTAAACGAAGTAGCATTGGAGATTGGCATTTCACCAGATACATTAACTGCAAATATCAATGTAATGCTCAAATTTTATCATATCCTCTGTGAAAAATGATTGTTTGAATTTGAACAAAATATATGTTGTTTTTATGCTTCATACATTATAGTTGCAGGAAGCTTATATGGCCTCTGATGTGCAACACAAAATAGTCAATTGGCTAAAAGCCCATGTGTATACTGGAGCATTTCACAAAGGTTTAAAAGCCAAATTAAAACCCACCAATGTATCTATGGATGAAAGTGGAGCTTCAGACGGTTCTGATATTTCACTGTTATCTGATTCAGGCTTGCCAAATCCGGTTGCTGTTAATGTTAAGTCTGTACCACCAAGGAGAAGAACTATCAGTAACATTAGGATTTTGAAGGATAATAAAGTAATATGTTCATCAGAGGGGGTTACTACTAGTGAGAATGGGGTATCAATTGATAAGCTCCTAGTTCATGAGTGTGAAAATCCAGGAATTTCCAACAAAGCATCTGATGCCACTGAAACGGTAATATTATAACATGGCCTATTTGGGATGGCAAATCCATGACATTTTTTATTTTTATTTTGCTGATTTTAAGTATAACTAATACTTCAACTGTAACAAAGTAAAAAATCCTAACGGATTTGTAGTTACTTGGGAAAACTGAAAGCTTTAAATGAGTAGAAAATATTTTCTCAAACCAAACAGGTCATTGTTTTGGCTAAAATTCATCTTCTCTTCACTCCTTAAGTACTGGATTATTTAGATAAGCATTCGTGGTTCTTTTCTGTCATTTTTGTAACATATGGTCAATTTTTTTCTTCTTTCTTTCCTTTTGTTCTTTGGAACCCATCTTTCAAAATCATGTCTTTCAAAATCATATCTTTCAAAATCATATGTACATATTTTGTGAGAATTGGTTGAATGCAGACGTTACAGTGTATTAGTATTACCATTTCATAATGGGAAGTTTCGTTGTTTCACTTGCTTAATGAGTAGGATAAGCAAGAGATCTATCTTTAACACCATTGGGAGAAGTCCGAATCTAAATCAGTGTTGTTAAATATCCAGTATAGCGCGCTATACCGGTATTGCGTATCAGAATGTTGGCTATCCGATACGAAAACCAGTATAGCATTTCAATTTTGTGATGCTCAAGATATCGGCACTTTTCCGGTATACCGGTTATGAATTGAATATCGGAACCAATACTATTATTATTATTTTTTATTTTATTTTTTATTTTATAATAAACCATATTAAGAAACATTAAAGAGGAGAATGTGAAGAGGTGGATAAAGTAGAACGTGAAGAGGTGGAAAAAAGAACATTAAAAAATTAAAATGTTAAGAGGTGGAACATCGAAAAAGTAAAATGTGTCTGCTACTAAGTCGGTTCCTGGGTACTAATTCATTTTTAATTTCTATTTTTAGTTTTCTGTTTTAGATGTTGGAACTTGAAATTTTTAGTTTAATGTCCACTTTTTTTAATATTTGTTTATGTTGCTTTTATTTGTGTGTGGCATGTTTTATTTTCTATATAAATATTTATTTTAACCGCTCTGCGGCTTCCGCTATTTGCCTGCTAAGCGATCCGATATTTCTCATATTGGTTTTTTGGTGATCCGTTATTTTCCGCTATTGATATTTGACAATGCTGATCTAAATAATATCTATCTTTAAAACCTAGTGGAGTTTATGTTATTCATGTAATAGTGGTACTTGCTTAGTGGGATTACACTTGGTTCCTGTTTACTGGGGGAGATAGTTTTTGCTCATTTTTCTGATGGCACTTCTTCATTCTTGATCTTGACAAATCTTAGCAATGTTAGAACTCATTTTGTTTACTATATTCTGTTTTTTATTCCATGCAGAACTTAACGAAGTCTGATGATAAATTTCATCAGGTTCAAGGTACGATTTCGTCTTGGAAGCTATCATTTTATGAAATCAAAATGCAATTTTTTTTGAGGATTTGATTTTGATTTACTTTGACTGCGAACATGCTTTAGTTGATTTTATGAGTATTTATGACATATTTTCTTCCTATGTTATGAGTACTTATAGCTATGTTATGCAGGCAATGCTGATGAGCCCTACAAACCCAGCTTATCTGTATGCGTTCCAGAACAAAAGTCTACTAATTTGCAGAATGCTTCCACAGTTTCTGATCAGCACCATCCAGCTCATTCGGCTTCAGAACTACGTGTTCCTGGTTCCGGGTGAGCTTCTCAATGTGGCTATTTTATTATATTCAGCTTGTACTGCTATGTCTATGTGTATCAGACTATCAGTAGAAACCATTGATGTGACTTACTTAGGTTGTGGCATTCTCCTTTAAAGTCAAAGTTCGTTTTCTGAATGCAGAAAAATGGAAGCAATCTCTAGTTACATTCACCCATACATTAACAAGAAATTGCTGCAGATTCGTAATTGCTTGGCCCCGGAGGATCTTATAGGTGAGATAGATTTGAACATTATCTCTAGGAGGTATTTGGCGTGATTGTTTGAATTTCCTGAATATGCCTAAACTTGTTTATTTAAAAGATACAACCTGTTTATATAATATATCTGGAAAAAGGTATATTAAAAAAAATCCAAATCTCACTGTCTAAAATGTCAAAATCCTCCTTGGGATATGGTATTTATACTCAAGTTTGAAATTAATAGGTTTCCACGTGATTGGGAAATTAGAGTGACCACATACCAAATGACTCCTCAGATTTTTGTTCAATGTTACTTGGACTAGTCTAATAAATTTCTCTCTCTGCAGGTTTAAGTGGCTACAGAAATTCTTTGGTTGAATCCTCTGGAGCTAATAGCCCCTCAAGTAGTGAAAATCAGCAATTAATTTGCACCGACGTTTCCAACCCTGATGAAGTAAAGATAGAACAGTTGGTTAGGGATAAAAATACACAACTTTTCGAATTTTATTCAGAAGATGAGTTGGAGACGGAACTTTTATATTTTCAGCATAAACTGCTGCAGAGAGCAGTTGCAAAAAAGAGCCTTACTGGTGTGTGCGTCATGTTGTCCTGAATTATTACCTACTTCATTTTTCTAGTTGATCTGAAGTTTGAATATCATTTGTTTTGTATCTTCGTTCAATTTTAAAGTTATAGCTATATTTTACTGTGTTCGTTATTCTTATTCTTATTTTCTAATTGCAGAAAACTTAGTCTACAATGTTGCGAAGGGGTTGCCTCAGGAGATTGATAAAACACATCAACAAAGATGGGATGCTGTGATTGCTAATCAATATCTGCTTGATCTTAGGGAGGCAAAGAAACTGGGTAGAAAAGAAAAAAAGCACCAGGAAGCGCAGGCAGTGTTGGCTGCTGCAACTGCAGCAGCTGCAGCATCTTCCAGGGTATCTTCTTTTCGTAAAGATACCATTGATGAATCTGTGCAACACGAGGTCATATGCGCTTCTTTTGTCAATAATTTTTTTAACACTTGGCTTTTATTGACAGTAAAATATAATAATTTTCAGAATTCATTTAAGTTGGATGCTTTAGGCGGGCGGACTGGTACATGTTCTCAGCCAATGCCACGCGCTAAAGAGACTCTTTCGAGAGTTGCTGTCACTAGAGCTTCATCAGAAAAATATTCGGATTTTTCTCTGCCAGGCTCAGATTTTTCTAAGGAGCAACGTAAATCATGTGATATCTGCAGACGGTTTGAGAATATGTTAAATCCTATCCTAGTCTGTTCTGGTTGCAAGGTTTTAGAACTTATCCCTCATCCTTTTTCATGCACTTGTTTCTCTGTTCTTTTCCTCACTATTATTTTCTGGTTGCAGGTTGCGGTGCACTCTGTTTGCTATCGTAGTGTGAAAGAAACAACAGGTCCATGGTTCTGTGAATTGTGTGAAGACTTGTCCAAAAGTTCTGAGGCATCTGCTATAAATAGCTGGGAGAAGCCTTATTTTATTGCAGAATGTGCTCTCTGTGGTGGTACTACCGGTGCTTTTAGGAAGTCTTCTGATGGTCAATGGGTTCATGCCTTCTGTGCCGAGGTTACTTTATATATATATATATAGTTTATTTGCAAGTGTTCTTGTCATCCTTTTATGCCTAACATTTGTTTTAACTGTGATATTTACAATATTTTATAGTGGCTTTTTGAGTCTACATTCAGAAGAGGACAAATAGATGCGATTGAAGGAATGGTATGTGCATTGGTGGAACAAATGATTCTTACATCTTGGACTCCAACTACTTATCTCTTGCTTGTTTACTTAAAACGATCATATAATCATCTTGTCTTAAACCTATCTTTGTATATTTTTGAATGACAGGAGACTGTGCGAAAAGGAGTTGATATTTGTTGTGTCTGCCACCGCAGGCATGGTGTTTGTATTAAAGTAATGTTAAACTCAGATACTATTTTCCACTTCTATCCTTTTCTCAATTGATTTTGGAACTAAGATTTCTAATTTCTTAGCAATGTTCACATGTATGCAGTGTTGTTATGGTCATTGCCTGACCACATTCCATCCATCCTGTGCTAGAAGTGCTGGTTTGTTCATGATTGTGAGGACTGCTGGGGGCAAGATGCAACACAAGGCTTACTGTGAAAAGCATAGTCCAGAGCAGAGAGCAAAGGTTTTCATGTTTGTCTTTTGTTGTATAATTTTCACTTTTTTGGCCAACCATAGCGACATCTTAAGTTTCTATTCCTCACTTTTCCAGTCTGAAAATCAAAAGCATGGAGTAGAAGAGTTAAAAAGTATCAAGCAAATTAGGGTGAGACTTTCCCATCAATTTTTCATCTTGATTCCGTACTCATTTTTTTATGGCTTGGTAATGGGATATATTGTCATTGGATAATGTGGAGTAAGTTTTGCAATTTTGTTTTGCATAGTTTGGAATGCTGTTCATTTAAACCATGATGTTCTAACAGCTGACATTTGTTGAATCTTGTAATCAATCACATCTATTATTGAGATTGTCGAGTGTCTCCATATTTAGGAAATTTAAAGGTTTATCAGGGTTTGCAAGTATATTGTGGGCGTAGGATTGTGTCAGTTTTGTAGCAAATGGTTGCCTGGTTTGGAATGGAAGTGCTTGGCATCATTGCAAGGCTAAGCCTTATATTCAACTTCCGTGGGGGTGCTTGTTTCAAGTCTAAGAATTACATTTCCGGGAATACATGGCTAAAAAATAGTTATTCCCACGTTTGTTACACGTTTGAGAAAAATTATTCCTTGGAATAAAGGTTCATTGGGATAAAATAACTTCCATAATTCCCATGGTTTTATTCCCATTAGAAGGTGGGGATGTTCATTCCCATGAGAAGAAGGCGGGAATGTTCATTCCCACGAAATTGCACATAATTATTTGATGTTCATTCCTAGGAACATGAAATTATATGCCATACATTTTTTTAGAAAAATACCCGGGAATTAAATTTTCATATTTTTATTCCTGGATAACTTATTCATGAGAATCATTTTTGAATTCTTGAAACAACCGCCCCTAGAGTTAATTTCCTGTCAATTTTTTAAAATTAGTTTGGCGAAGTACAACATTGCTGAAAAACTAGTCTTATGACTGCAACATGGGAATCTTTGTGAGTGCAACTTTAGTTCAGCTCCCTTCAGCTGAAATGGGTAGTAGCTTGACATTTATACATTCAATATTAAGAATTGTATGTTGGCATTGGTTGTTGATTATGATCAGAGATGAGATGGACATGGCAAGAATTAGTTGGTCTGTCTGGGAAGAGGTTGCAGGATGAAATTGCCGGCCTTTGTTAACACTCAAATCTTGTTCCTCATTTCTACAAATTCAGCATGCCAATGCATTTTTTCTCTTATTAATAGAAAATATAAATTACATGGCTGAAAGGAAACAATAATTCCATAACCTGGAAATTCTTACTTTTTTAGTTCAACACATGATTGTTTCTATTCAAGTATTTTATTTATGTAACAATGTCATGTATATAAATGAGTGGAGGTATAATTAATATCACGACTGCACAGATCTTTTTTGTTTCTCAAATAGCTTGATTATTTCTAAATGCATTTGAAACAGGTTGAACTAGAGAGATTACGTCTCCTTTGCGAAAGAATTGTCAAACGGGAAAAGATAAAGGTAAAAATTGAGCATTTTTCAAAGCTCTGTCAAGGCTTTAGTGGGTTTTTCACCATTCACACTATGTTCTTGATGACTTTTATTGTGTCATTTCTAGAGTAATGTGTGAAGTCTCTATATATGGTATCTGTCTTGTATGGTCATTTTGATTATTGACTTGTGGCTCTTTTAACAATGCAGCGGGAGTTGGTTCTATGCTCACATGACATACTTGCCTTCAAAAGAGATCATATTGCTAGGTCTGTGCTTGTTCAGAGTCCTTTCGTCCTTCCAGATGGTAGTTCAGAATCAGCTACAACATCCCTTAAAGCCACCACAGAGGGATACAGATCATGCAGCGCGCTCCAAAGATCAGATGATGTAACTGTGGATAGTTCAGTTTCAGCTAAGCACCGTGTCAGAGTTGCCGTATCCATGGACACAGACCCAAAATTGGATGATGACTGCTCAACCTCTCAAAGTCAATATAACCACCAGATTCCAGAGAAGATGCAATTTTCTGGCAAACAGATTCCTCGTAGAGCTTCTGCTACATCACGCAATATCTCTGAGGAGGATGGATGGAGAACCAAATCTCGAAAGGTCTGCAATAAATTAAGACACTGATATCTTTAATTTTTATTTTTTGTTTTCCCTCACTTTTTACTTGGAAATATTTAATCGGAAGGGTGAATTCTGGATTTAGCTGGAAAAGATCTCATCCATCTTCTTATTTGCAGTTACAGACTACTGAAACATTTGGAAAAGAGCTTGTCATGACGTCAGATGAAGCATCTATGAAGAATTCAAGGCTACCTAAAGGATATGCATATGTTCCCGCAGATTGCCTTTCAAATGGCAAGCAGTCTAATGAAGATGTATATGCTAGTAGACCAGGGGAACATGACAGGTAGAGTGACGAATCCTAACCTGGTCAGTCTGGTTTTTTTTTATCTCACCCACAAGGCTGACATCCACAATATACGATGCCATGCCATTTTGCACGGGGAAATGTATGAGTATGGCAAAATGTAGGAACAAGACTGGTTACTGTATTGTTGCAGAACACTGCATTCTGCTCTGGCAAGGAAGTTTCGTTAACATTGTTGTACATTCATTGCTGTATAGTGGATGGGAATTTCTTGCATTTACTTGTGTTTGGAAGGGGGTGCATTGAAACAAAAGCATTCCCACTTGTAAACCATACTAGGGAAGATATGTAAAGTTGATGTACATATTATGACAGTCGCATTTATTCTGAAAGGCATCCATCATATTACTTGGCATCATATTGTACCGAGCATATATTATGTAAACCTCCTAATTTTTTTCTTTCCTTATACTGCATTCTACTAATCGATCTTAACACTGATTTGTCATTTGTAATAATTTTGACTGTATTTTTATGTAGTTAATGATAAGCGTACAACAATAAGCATTTGAGCTCGTTCAGTCGCTCAACCATCTGGCATCAACATTTGTGTATATTTATCATCATTACCAATTATTTATGTTTTTTTTTATTCTGGCAAATTATTTATGCTAGAGAAAGAAAATGTTTGTTTAGTTTTAGTTGTGTTAAGCTGTGAGCTGTGGTTATTGGTTGAATGTTGTCTAGTTGAGATAATTTTCCATTCCTTCATACTTCCTCCATCCCAACTTATAAGATGTTTTTCAAAAAAAAAATGTAACATTTATAATCTTTTTCGGAAACCCTCGAGTATTTATTATTATTTTATCTTCCAACTCTTAATTTATCTCTCCTGTGTAATTATGAGGGGGTATTAATGTAAAGCCACATATAATTTGTCTTTCCTTTAAAATAATAATAAAGTTTCATAATTTGTGTGAAATGGTCAACCATTGATGATTTATACCATAAGTACGACTTGAAGAGATTAAAGATCACGTGACGCTCTTCTGCTAGAAAATAAAATACTAGAAATTCACGCTGACCATACTGTTTTTTAGTCCTAATAGGGTTTTTTCAATTCGCAATTGACAAACTCTAATGATTCTTGATAATATTTTAAGTTTGTTGATTATGGATGTAAATTTACGCTGACCATCTTGTTTATAAAAGGATAATCATTTTGAACAAAATGCTCTATTTTTTAAAATGTTTTATGCGTAGTAGTCCATCTACACTGTTTCTTAAGACAGTAATCCGACATAATTTATAAGAATAATAAGTTTTACATTTATTAAGAAATATAGTTGATTGTATTTATTTGTCTTGATTTTATGTAAGAGAAATAACATAATTAGGCATGTATTTTTAATTAAATTGTCAATCCATAACAATATTAAATAATTAATGTAAGAATAGTTTTAAAATAAAAATATTAAATGTGTCTAGATTTGTTAACATTTATTTATATTTAAGACCAAATATTTAAAATTTTTTTTCTTATAAATAAGATCAGAGAGAATATTGCATATTAAATTATTCAATCTAACTGAATTGATCTTGTACAACTTTCGATAACCTAACTGAATTGATTTTGTACAACTTTCAATCACGTTTATGTTTTATTCAGTGGACATAAAATTGTTGACTTTGGTATTCTTAAATACTCTCACCATTTTAAAATGTGTCGTTTTAATAAATAAATTTTGTTTTAAAATGACTGTTATTTTCACTTTTCAATATAATAATAATAATAATTTTTTCAATTGCACTCTTTATTTTTTACTCTCTACAGTACTTCCAATACATGAATATGGTTAATCTTATAAAAGTGTAATATCTTATGACAACATCATTGCATTTTTTAATTTGTGGACAAAAACCTTAAATCACGATTATTTTAAAATAGAGGGAGTAATATTTATACAATGGACAAGAAATTGTTGACTACAATTATCGACACGACACAGATATTCCGACACCAATATATTAAAAATCTAGGATACTAACAACGCTCTATATATTTTATTTATATATCTAATATTAAATGAGTTAAGAATATTTTAATTAAAATTAATATTTTTAATTTTTTATTGATAATATTGTTTAATACATACTAAACTATTTTAATCGTGGGTGAGATTTGTTTATAAAATATATAAAGTGCGTTGAAGAAAAGAAAAATACATTTTTTTAAAGAAAATTGGTCTAAATTATAAGACACGTGTTATATGAGTGTTATATGGATATTAGACATTGATTTAAAATGTGTCGAAGTAAAAAAAAATTAATTTTTTTAAAAAATATTTAATTAATTTTTCTAACACTTATTTAACAGATATCATATGAGTGTTATATAAATATTAAACACTGACACGTGTTGAATAATGCAACATATCTTTATAAAGATGTTGCTTCACATAGATGAAGATATGTGATTTTAAATTAAAATTAATTATAAATCACCTCTTTTTAGTAGGTGAAAAAGAAGAAGAGATGTGATTTTAAATTAAATTAATTATAAATCACCTCTTTTTAGGAGGTGAAGAAGAAGAGACGAAACTATTTTCTTAGGAAGTGATGTATAAAAATATGTTATTTATAAATATGTGCTGTTATATCGGGTTGTTTTTAGTCCGATCGAGTTCGGATATAAGTCATTCTAAAAAGTAGATCAAAATTGTAATTGGATAATCTAAGACTGAATTAAAATAGAGATAAATAATTTTTTTAGGATCGAAATCGGACCAAATAGTATTTCGGTCATTCCATTAGTCCGGTTTCATTAGACTGGTTCTCGGATACTCCGCTAGACAACTCGCTCATAAAATAAAATTTATTGAATATTCGAGATAACAATATAGAATTTTTTTTATTAATAACCATGTATTAAAATAATATTTCGCAAATAACAGGGTTTCGGAAAAAATTACGCAAATAACCATGTTTCAGATGACTCCCCAAAGGAGGAGCCATCTGAATTGGCGCATGCACCTACACTTTTGTCCTAGGCGCCATCTCACTTGGCGCCTCCCTTGGCTTTTAGCCAAGTGAGATGGCGCATGCTCCTTAAAAGTGAGAGGAGACGCCATCTCACTTGGCTCCTAGGACAAAACTAGGGCAAAATGCTGTTTTATAAATAATTCGTCTATTTCTCTGAAATTTCTCACACTTTCTCGCACTGTATTTTTATTTTGTACTCTGTTATTTGCGTCATGACGTCGCCTATGATTTTTAGCAGAGATGGTTACGTTATCTTCTCCGCCACGAAACATGCGATGAAAATGAAATTCTGGCACATTCACTCCATGGAGCGTCTGAAGCGGGAGTTGATGCGATGGCTAGATGGAGACATTGCGGAGGGGAAAAAAATTCGAAGGATCCAGCGAAAACGAACAACAACCTCACATGCGACAGGAAGACCTAATGTGTGGTTGGAGGAAGTCAAAACAGACAGCGATGTAATGTTGATGATGCATGAGTCAGATGAAATTGTGTTAACAGTTGTAATTTCCTAGATGGAATATCGTTAATTATTCTTGTACGCGTTTTATTAATTGTAGCAAAATCTGTTAACGGAAAACCCAAATGTTTACAACACAATTAAGAAAAGATTTTATATATTACAATATTTATGTGGTCGATCCAGACACCCGATTCGGACAGTTTTTGCGATTGTGTCCGACCTGACGGCATAAACCACACTTTCTTTCCAACCTGTCAAGATCGTCCATTTCTGTTATGATGCGCTTACTTTTGGGACGACCCTTCTTGTTCCTTCACATTTGGTCATTGTGCCACACTATTTCGCCGTTGTATGCAGGCCAATAATCTGGTTTTGCTACCAAAGGAAAGTTGTTGTTGTAAACGTTGAGCAACATTTCAGATTTGTAAATGTTTGACAGAAGTTGTAGCGCGTCTTGATGGGTATGAGCACAAGCAGCAATGACATGAGAGCAAGGAATACGAAATGCTTGAAACCTGCCACAATCGCACCATTGAGAAGGTAGCATAACCCTATATTCTTGTCTTGGCAGGCCTTCATTGTGGTCGATTGTCTCTTTCTCAATGAAGTTGTGGCTGTGTCGGTCAAACCGTATAACCATATGAGTGTTGGCTTTAGCACTTTCAGCCTTAATGTATTTCATGCAGCTTTCACTCCATAGTTGTCCAGATTGCAATACCGCATTCCATATTTCACCTCTTTTGGCAAATAACACAGCCATCCTAAAATACGTAGATTTTACCAAGGCAGTGATTGGGAGGTTTCGTATGCCTTTGAATACCCCATTCATTGATTCAATAAGATTCGTTGTCATATGCCCCACCTTTGGCCATTGTCGTATGACCTAGTCTATTTTTCCACCGGAATATTGTCGATCCACCTACCGGCTTTCGAATTCGACAAACGAATCTCGTTGCGGTAATATTTGAATATGGATTGTGTCAATGCATATCCCGCATTCATAACCACTTTCCTCAATGTTTTGTCCTTGATCTCCCTCGAGAAATTCTGGACGATATGCCTAACGCAATAGACATGCGTAGAAGGAGGGTCATGCCAACCATTTGCTGGATTATTGTAGGCACTTTCAATGGAGGCATATCTGTCCGAGATCAAACAAAGATCTGGTTGAGGAGCCACGTGTATCTGCAGATTTTTCAGGAAAAACCTCCAAGCACCACCGGTCTCCCCCTCGACAAGGGCAAAGGCAATGGGGAAAATGTTGTTGTTGCCATCTTGTGACACTGCCATCAGTAGCGTGCCTTTGTACTTCCCATACAACCAAGTCCCATCAATTTTTATAATTGGTTTGCATGATGCAAACCCTGTGATGCATGGTTGAAATTCCCAAAACACGCGACTGAATATTCCGTTGCCATTTAGTAGACTACCATCTTGGGCGTATGCTGGCACTGTTTCCAGAACGTAAACACTACCTGGAGAATACGTCTTGAGTGCATTCAGGTAGCAGGGAAGTTCTTGGTATGACTCCTCCCAGT